GAAGTCATTATCATACACACTACACTACACACTAGATAGCAGTCATAACCACGACGCGTGATTATAACAACCAGGGCGCCAGTTATAACAACCCCGCGACCATGATTATAACAACCAGGACTATGATTATAACAACCACGACCATAATGATTATAACCGACCATAGTTATAATAACCACGACTATGATTATAACAACCACGATGTTCGTTTTAAGGGTGCAGGAAAGTGGCTTTCTTACCGTGAAACTTCGGGGATGCCTTCACATGATTTACTCACCCAAGAATTGTGGTGTGTGTCACTCATCAGAATTTTTGCTCTGCTTCGGCACTCAATGCGTTATAGCCCTTGATAAATGATGATTTCCGTGAATTCACCGCTTCCAACATCCATCTAAGTTATTGGTTATCTTTGTCATAACCAATGAGTCGTACCCTTAGTAATAATGATAATAGAGGATCACAGATACGGGCAGATGATTGCACTTACGTTTTATTTGGCACAATTCCATACACTGGACTTATAATTTGCATGGATAGGTCAGTCACTCATTCACGCATACAGTACCGTAAGTTATAAAGGGAGTTTGTCAACCTGGTGGTGTCGTTTAGATCTATTAGGTGACCTGGAGTGCTCTTGTAGCAAACAGGCCCTCACCGTGTCACTTCCTTTACAGGATGTGTTAACTTGTGGACTTAACAAAAATCTGGGGATTTGCACAGACCAATAGCACTGTGAGTGGGACTGTATATTTCAATCTCTTAGAATCCATGAACGGAGGTCTTCTCTAACCCAAGGTCTAAAGCCCACTGCTAAATTGGTTTTTTTGAGGCGTGAAGTGATGAACAGTACACCACTGTCTCACTGGCCTGCCCCCCCCCTACATGTCCCAGTCATGGCTGGCCGGTTATCCTATCTCTACCGTAAACAAACATTTGGGATGGGTTGTGCGGGAGGCCCAACGCAACCCATGACACACGACCATGATTATAACAACCACGACCATGATTATAACAACCACAACCATGATTATAACAACCACGACCATGATTATAACAACCACAACCATGATTATAAAAACCACTACCATGATTATAACAACCATGACTGTGATTATAACAACCACAACCATGATTATAAAAACCACTACCATGATTATAACAACCACGACCGTGATTATAACAACCACGACCATGATTATAACAACCACGACCATAATTATAACAGCCACGACCATGATTATAACAACCAGGACTTTGATTATAACAACTATGACCGTGATTATAACAACCACGACCATGATTATAACAACCACGACCATGATTATAACAACCACGACCATGATTATAACAACCATGACCATGATTAAAACAACCACGACCATGATTATAACAACCACAACCATGATTATAAAAACCACTACCATGATTATAACAACCATGACTGTGATTATAACAACCACAACCATGATTATAAAAACCACTACCATGATTATAACAACCACGACCGTGATTATAACAACCACGTCCATGATTATAACAACCACAACCATGATTATAAAAACCACTACCATGATTATAACAACCATGACTGTGATTATAACAACCACGACCATGATTATAACAACCACAACCATGATTATAAAAACCACTACCATGATTATATCAACCACGACCATGATTATAACAACCACGACCATGATTATAACAACCACAACCATGATTATAAAAACCACTACGATGATTATAACAACCATGACTGTGATTATAACAACCACAACCATGATTATAAAAACCACTACCATGATTATAACAACCACAACCATGATTATAACAACCACGTCCATGATTATAACAACCACGACCATGATTATAACAACCACGACCATGATTATAACAACCACGACCATGATTATAACAACCACGTCCATGATTATAAACAACCACGACCATGATTATAACAACCACGACCATGATTATAACAACCACGTCCATGATTATAACAACCACGACCATGATTATAACAATCACGACTATGATTATAACAACCACGTCCATGATTATAACAACCACGACCATGATTATAACAACCACGACCATGATTAAAACAACCACGACCATGATTATAACAACCACAACCATGATTATAAAAACCACTACCATGATTATAACAACCATGACCATGATTATAACAACCACAACCATGATTATAAAAACCACTACCATGATTATAACAACCATGACTGTGATTATAACAACCACAACCATGATTATAACAACCACGACCGTGATTATAACAACCACAACCATGATTATAAAAACCACTACCATGATTATAACAAACACGACCATGATTATAACAACCGCAACCATCTGGAAAATGATGTCGCTGTATGCAATCAGCCGGACGGCGGTTGCGCGCTAGCCAAGCATGAGCGTTCGAACTTTCACGCCTCGGTAAACTGTACCACCGGATTTGCCACCGGGCACAAAGGGTCCACGATCACTTGTGTATATATATATATATATATATATATATATATATATATATATATATATATATATATATATATATATATATATATATATATATATATATATATATATATATATATATATATATATATATATATATATATATATATATATACACACACACACTCACACTCACACACACTAGGAGAAACGCCGCCCTCTGGGCCACGGTAGGGCGCCATCCTCCGGGAGGCTCCACATTGTCTCACTATTCAGTCCCCAAAACTACTTCTTCCATCAATAGTTCATTAACTGTGTATATGTAAGTTCCACCCACCATGTTTTTCACTACAACGGTACAGCAAAGTATATTTTTTTAGCATTACAGTCGACCCTCGTTAATTCGGACCCCTTTAATCCGGATTTCGGATAATTCGGACAAAATCTGAACTTTTTTGGGGGGGGGATATTACCTTCGCGGACCTTAAGCTAAAATGCTGGTCCACCCACTGCTGGGATAAAACACCAGCATCTTTTTGGTTAAATGTAACATATCCACCACTAGTGTGGGGGGGGGGATGCAACTTTTAGCTTCAGACATGAAAAATATTTACCATTTACTGCCAGTAAACAATGGAAATGTGAAATATGTACCAATTAGGAATGAAAAGTTGTGCAGTTCCTTCAGCAAATGAAGCTCACCAACTTACAATAGGCTAAATTACCTTACAACGTGTTTTCAGTAGTCTATGTTGAAGTTCTTAGCACAGGCTAACTTATCATATCATATATACGGTATCACAGTTCTCATTGATCTACAAAAAATACCGGTAATAAAAACCTTTTCGATATTTCACACTTAATATAATACCCGGTAATCTACTTCAACCTCCTATTGTTTACAACCAGCTGTTGAGTATCAGCTAGACGGTACACGTGTTTTTCGAATCGTTTTCAGTTAAAAAACTGTTACATCACATGTATATTTTACTTTAACTGTGCCTAAATGAATATATTCTTGGAAATAAATAGTAGTTTTGCTGAAACGTGATGTATTTTAATGTAAAATAGGATAAACTACATGACGAAAACAAAAGATTTTACCTAACCTTCCGTTGTTCAAGAGATGTTACTCGTTTTTTTAATAGTTTTCGGTTAAAATACTGTTATATTACAATGATATTTTATTCATACTGTGCTTGATATAATACATTCACGGAAATGTAATATTTTTGCTGAAATTACGTACGTATTACAGTGGAAAGTGGGATAAAATCGTGACGAAAACAATGACTTTGAAATATAATGCAATATTAACCCCTAAATCGGTTAATTCGGACAATCGGCTAAAACGGACACCCTTCCCCCCCCATTAGTCCGAATTAACAAGGGTCGACTGTAACTGTTATTATTTTATTGTCTAATCATCACTACATATAACACCACCCATCATCACTACATATAACAACATCCATCATCACTACATATAACATCATCCATCATCACTACATATAACACCATTCATCATCACTACATATAACACCATCCATCATCACTACATATAACACCATCCATCATCACTACATATAACACCATCCATCATCACTACATATAACACCATCCATCATCACTACATATGACACCACCCATCATCACTACATATAACAACATCCATCATCACTACATATAACATCATCCATCATCACTACATATTACACCATCCATCATCACTACATATAATACCATCCATCATCACTGTATATAACACCATCCATCATCACTACATATAACACCATCCATCATCACTACATATAACACCATCCATCATCACTACATACTGTATAACATCATCCATCATCACTACATATAACACCATCCATCATCACTACATATAACACCATCCATCATCACTACATATAACACCATCCATCATCACTACATATAACACCACCCATCATCTAATATACTATAGGAATAGCTGTCTGTCTGTGTGTCTGTTGTGGGCAGCTGAAACGGCACAATCGTTTTTCATCAAACTTGGTGGAAAAATCGCAAAAAATTCGTAGAGTGGGACAAACCTGGTCCCATGTCGATGGTTTCTTTAGGAAGGCATTAATTAACCATTTTATTTACTGTGGAAAACAATGCAAGTCTACGGACTTGGTGCACCCTCATTCGCTGTATGCTGTCAGCCGGACGGCGGTTGCGCGCTAGCCAAGCACGAGTGTTTAAATTTTCACTGGGCACGATGGGCCCACGTTCACTTGTAGTATCACTATTACTTTTTCTACTTACAGATCAGAGTAATGTGCCAAGTCTTTCATTAGGAAACTAGTCTCTGTATACAATCAAGACTGTTTGGTCTCCTTTATTATAGGTGTATTAATAACCGTAAATTTGAAAAATATTGTCACTGTAACCATACCTGTGCTATAAGTAAAGGATTTTATATCCATTAAATATTAAATCACCAAGAGTGATATAAATTTTTGTATTCTGCTAATCATTCATTTAAGATGTTTTCGTTATTAGGTTGTGTTTTTGCACCATATGTTGTCCAAGTCAAGCCTCAAGCAGGCCAACGTCCTATGGTGCTACAAGAAAGAACTGACTTTCTCCTCACACCGAAGAAAAAGAATGAAGCAACTGCAGGCCAGGATAAGAACTGGGCAAGTTGATATCAATGAAGATGACCCATTTGAAATGTTTGTTTCCATGACTGACATCAGGTACTGCTTCTACAAGGAGACCCACAAGATCCTGGGAAACACCTTCAAGATGTGTGTACTGCAGGTGAGTGAGTTAGTGTCAGATGAAGGAGAGCTACAATACTATTTCTTTCTTGCAACATCTTTTCTGTTGCTGTATTCACTTAGGCATGTCTCTTCATAATTACATTAGGCATATGCTCATCATCACTGTTTTACAACCATTTTCCTTACTTCTGTTAGTTAGCCATGATTACCTGATGGCATGGTGTCCTGGTTGCCATCTTGTAAATTTAGAGCAGGTTTTATGGGAACTGGGCAATGCTATATGGAGAACTTCCAAGTGTCCTCTTAGCCGACAAGAATGGGTAGCTACTCTCAGAGGCAGTCAAAGAAGACTAGATATTACTACTCATTGTGGCATTGATATAATGAACTTCACATCTGCTAAACATTTGCTTTCATCAAATAGTTAAATGATCTAAAGTGTGATGCACTGATTTATGACTTAATTTACCTTTCTAATACTTGGTGATTGGAAGATTTATATCTCTCTTATATGGATAATTGTATATTTGGTTACCTGACAAGCCAATAGTATTACATTCTCACAGATACCTTATACAGTGGTCCCTCGGTTAACGAATGCTTTGATTAACGAAATTTCGGTTAACGAATTACCTTCTATAAGAATCTTCAATTCGGTTAACGAACAAAAATTTGATTTACGAAATCCTTACGAAAATCACGTTTTGTTGTGAGCATCAGCTGGTCAGCTAATGGGCTAGTCTGCCATTTCAGTAATCTATTCTATGTTTTCATTCGTTTCCAGTGGAGTAAATATCAAGAAAGTTGTGCTCTTAAATATTTTTGCATTTTTTATGTTAAAATTATTAGTCTTTTAACATTTATTTAACATATTGATAATATATGCAGTACATGGAACTAGTTACAAACATCATGTTTTGTTGTTTTGAGGATCAGCTGAGGGGGTATAGTACTCAGCCAATTCAGTAATCTATTCTATGTTTACATTCATTTCCAATGGATTAAATATCAATAAAGTTGTGCTATTTACTATTTTTAATGTTTTATATTAAAATTATTAGTCATTTTAACATTTATTTAACACATTGATAATATATGCAGTACAGGGAACTAGTTAGTTGTGCACCCATCAGATGCATGAGTCGACCACCAGGCGTCAGTCTGGCCTTGTTTACTGTTGAGAGAGCAACTATTTTATTGGTGTCTTGAATATTTTTGCATTTTTCATTAAAATTATTGGTCATTCTGAACTTTGGTTAACATATTGATAATATATAGTGCAGTGTTGATTTAAAGAAAATAATCTTGAATTACACCTAGCGAACTTAAAATTTTATTGGTGAAATGACAGCATCAAGCATGGGCCCCCTGAAAGGTGATTTCTCCTCCATCCCCACTTCCTTCTCTTCTTCCTTCTCTTCCACCCCAATTCTAATTCACATCATCATCATCAACCAGGAGCCTTCTAAATACACACCTCAAAGTAGGTGTACTTTACTGCATTTTTTTTACTTTGAATGTCTTTTCGGTGAGCTGGAACCAATTACCCAATATCCCATTGAAACAGTGGATTCGGTTAACGAACGACCTTCTAGAACGAATTGTGTTCGTTAACCGAGGGACCACTGTATATTGTAAACCAAACTCTGGTTCTATAGCCAGTGTTTAATGCCCCTAAGGCCTTGAGTATTACTGTAATACTTAGAAAAAAAGAGAGATAGAACTTTGCCGCACTTCATCGATACCAGACTTCATAAATCATCAAATGAAGGACAAGAAAAAACATTTCCACCTTAAACCAAGAGAAATATAGTGCACAGGCTACTAGCATATATTGTACATTTGTCTATTTTCTGAGATTTATCTTATTAACACTAGAAACTTCTTTTGTGGGGATTGACCATAAACACAGCTCCCTTGGTTGCCCTGTCAGGCTACACCTCTTCATCCCCTCCAACCACATCATCATTGTCATCATTGTCTTATAGCAATTTTCCACACTTGTGTGGGTTAACCTAGGTGAAACCTTCCCTTGTACTCCCTGCCTTTCCCTGCCTCTTACTATAAGCCAAGGGATTCCAAACCTTTTCACATGATGCCCCAATTTACTTATTACCAAACCCACTAGGTTCCCCAGTTTTTAGAATATAATCAAATTTTAATCAAATTTACACCTTGTACAGTTGAGTCTGGATTTACGCGGTTTTGGTTTACACGTTTTGTCATTTACGCGGTGCCTTGCCAGAATTGAAATGCTTGATTTACGCGGTAAATTTGGTCGGAAAAAGTGGAGTTTGGGGGTCGGCCCAGTCTCTATTTCAATTAATCCCATATGTTGTGTTATTTCATTTACCCGTTTCTCGTTTTACGCGGTACTCCGCAGGTTCAATTGACCGCGTAAATGAAGACCCAACTTTATTCATATTTATATTACTTTCAATGTCAACTAACTCGTAATTATTTTATTCATGTCTCTTTTGCATATGGGGAAGATTGAAATATACTCAGAAAAAAAATAATGTAACATATTTGTATTGAAAAAAATTCTAATAAAGGAAAAATGATTGTCAATATGTACAGTATATACTGTACTGTGTGTTTTTCACATGTCTTCACACCCCACTGTACCAACCTCTTGCCTCCCAGTTTGGGAACCACTGCCCTAGGCCCTCTTACTGCACTGTTTGTGTAAAAGAGATTCAGGTGTCTCTACAGATACCATATGTAATGATGTGCACATGAGAGAGGAATACTCAAGACCTACCTGCTGTCAATTAAAAAAAAAATTACAATGGGTGCACTTATATATTTTTTCTGTTCTAGACTGCTAATATACATATTTTATGAACTTCTTTAATAGGATTTTGAGGCTCTGACCCCGAACATCTTGTGCCGCACCATGGAGACTGTGGAAGGTGGTGGAGTCATTGTCCTACTCCTCCAGACTATGACGTCGCTACGGCAGCTGTACACACTCAGCATGGATGTGCATGCTCGGTACCGCACAGAGGTCCACCAGTATGTTGTACCCAGATTCAATGAAAGGTGAGGAAACTACATGCAGCTGCCTCAAATGTTTTACTGATTTATTAATTACAGTACAGTAGTACCCCGTTAGCTTAACGCGGTCAATTGAACCCACAGGGTACCGTGTTAAGTGAAAACCGCGTTAAGTGAACAACAGAACATATGGGATTAATTCCAATAGAGACTGGCCCGACCCCCAAACCCTACTTTTTCGGACACAATACCTATGTTCTAGTAAAAATAACATCTAAATTTTATGATGGTACATGCACACAATTAATACTTAAGAGAAATAGAGAAATACAGTCGCCAAGTTAATGTCCATTCAAATAATGGACTCAACTCCCTCTCCCTCTTCTCACACTACACTGCTGGCTCTTCCCTCTCTGAGAAATTTTGGGGGGAAACCACTGGATTTTAATAAATAATACCTCAAGCTAAAGTTAGGATAATATAATTGACATTGCTGGATTCCTTGTAAGACCAGGAATATTTTGAATATAAATGTCATATATTTTGAACAAAAGATAACATATTTACTCAGAGTAAACATTATATCTAAAATTTGTATGTCTAATGCAAAATCTATGATGTTTATATTCAAAATGGTCATCAAATTGTAAGAATTCCAGCAATGTAAATTATATTCTGGCCGGGTAATTTGTATGAATTTTATGAGCTAAAACAAATATCTTCAGTTAATAAAAAAATAATAATATTCTTCACGACACTATCTGTTAATCAAAGTACCCCACCTTGCCTCTCCCCTCTTCCAACCGCGCCAAATGGTCGGTCCGTCCCAACCCTCCCTACAAGAGAAATGTAGGGTGAAAAAACTAAATTTTAACATTTAGTAATAAATAATACCTCAGATTAAAGTTAGGATAATATAATTGACATTGCTGAATTCCTTGTAAGACCAGGAATATTTTGAATATAAATGTCATATATTTTGCACAAAAGATAACATATTTACTCAGAGTAAACATTATATCTAAAATTTGTATGTCTAATGCAAAATCTATGATGTTTATATTCAAAATGATCATCATATTGTAAGAATTCCAGCAATGTAAATTATATTCTGGCCGGGTAATTTGTATGAATTTTATGAGCTAAATAAAAAAAAATTATACTTCACTGTGTATATGGGTAGATGAACCGCGTTAAGTGAAAGTTCGGTTCTGGCGAGGCACCGTGTATATGCGAAATCGCGTTAAGTGAAACCGCGTTAAGCGGGGTAATACTGTACTGTATTATTATTCTGGGCAATATTAGTTTTACCTTTTTCTTAGTTTAAAATTTAGAATACCAGTAAGTTCAGCCACAGTTTCGTTTTTAAGTCCAAGCGTTATAATCTTATAACTGGTGTATAGTACTTGGTATTGCCTGAGTGCAGACACATAGTCTATGTCTGTCCTAAGCCAAAATTAATTACCCAATAAAAGAGTAACCTCAAATTTCAGCTCTCTTATCTTAATAATTATGCATAGTAAGAAACAGAAAAATTAATGTGCTTTTAATGAAGGAGCTCCACCTTTAGGGGTGGGGGCCAACCACTGAGTCCAGCTCCCCTAAATTCCACCTTCGTGAAACTTCTCGGGTGTATGTGTCTAGTATCTCCATGCCAAATATTCTTCTATAGATGAAATGGTGCACTTAATTCAGTCCATTTTCTTACCAATGTATGATTATTAGCAGAGATTAAGATACAATATTTTTTTCAGATTCATCCTCTCCTTAGCTTCCTGCCCATCATGTGTGGTGTTAGATGACCAGCTGCGTATTCTACCTGTATCGTCACACTTGCGAGACTTGCAACCAGTGCCCGCCAAATCTGCCAACGCCCCGATGTCGCCTCAAGACCAGGAACTGAAAGATCTTAAGGAGTCACTCAAGGACAACCCTCCAATAGGGCTCTTGGTAGACTTGTGCAAGACACTAGACCAGGTGATTATAATTTCTAAACTCATCATATTTCTGTGTTGTTGAACTTAAAGTCTACATGTTGCTTTATAACCACCAATATTTCTTAGATATGAAAATCTTGCTCATTAAAAAATCACCTTTTCCATACTAGTGGTGGAGAACTTGAAGGCAAGCTTATTTTTGAATAGCCAAAAGTTTCTACTAAGTAACCAATCATAGCTCAGTAAAATCCCTCTCATTGATACCTAAGTACTCCATATATCCACTTCTTTAAGGTCAGAAACTCAAGAATTGCAATTGAAACATCTGTGAGAGAATCATGACTAGTGTGTAGTATGTAGCTGCAGTTTAAGTTTGAAGGCTAAAAGCATATGCTAAGTATGCTATTGGTGCATGAACTAATGGGCTATTCATACCTGTTAATGGAAATTCACTAAACATCATACTTTTTCATGAAGAGAAAATTTAAAAGTGTCTAAATTCACCCCAGAGACTGGGTGACTTCAGACAACAGTGTTAATTCAATGGCTGTTACCTGTTAGAGTCTGGCTGAACAGTGTGGGGATGTCTTCAGGCAATATTGAACTCGGAAAAAATTTGGAAAAATATCTGCAGCAACAAAATTACATATAGCTACTGTATAGGTCAAAAGGGGAAGAAGAACCAAGAGAAGGGAAAACTTTTCTAGAAAATTGTAGCAAACAATACGTAACTA